TTCTCCAACGAGCTTTAAATGAATGCATCTTATTCACCCATTCACACACACACTAATATATCTGGGAAACAAATAGGCACCAAAAAATATGTAACTTTTAAAGTGATGATTATAAATGTTTACTCCTGATGTTTAGGATAGATATTTTAAATCTGTATATATACATATAGTTACATATGTATATATTTATCTATATTTTGTTAATGTGTATATATATATATATATATATATATATATATATATATATATAGATAGATAGATAGATAGATAGATAGATAGATAGATAGATAGATAGATAGATAGATAGATAGATAGATAGATAGATAGATAGATAGATAGATAGATATGTATAGAATTGTATATGTAGTTATATATATAGGTATATCTATGTATATGTATATGTATGTATATGTATAGACATGTAAATATGTTTATGCTGTTGTACATCTGGAGTTGGTAACAAAAATAATTTCCCACTGGGATTATTAAAGTATTTCTGATTCTGATTTTGATATAAGTAAGCACCAAAACCAGCGTCTGTACTTTTTATTCGGAGTGTTTTTAGCTACTAACGCGCGTAACACTGTTACTGTAATAGAAATATTGAAATATTGATATTCAACGTGTAATCTGTGTCAATAATAACCATAAACCACATCCTGAAAAGTACATGTGACATGTGGTTTTTCTGAATAAAGAGAACAAACATTTACATATATATACACACACATAAGTTTTTATATTCACATTGATTGTATATTGTGGCAGTTCAGCCACCATGACTGTTTGTGTGTGTGTGTGTACATGGGGGTGTTCAGTTGTTGAACAAATTACAGTATATCTATATGCACATACACATACTATACTATATAGCTCTATGTGTGTGTGTGTGTGAGTGTGTGAGACAGACAGAGGGAGACTAAGTTGAATGGATACAGCAGGGTTGAAAAGTTCACTGAATAAACAAATCTGTCAAAGTGACGTTAATGACCGGGTTCGAAACCCACGAACATGAATAAACACGTGAATAATTTCCAGCTTGCCCCGCTTTCAGCAAAAGTTCATCAATTTTATCAAAAAGTCAAACAGCTGAGAAGCAAATCAATTGTCTATTATGTGACCTCGGACCTGAAGTTTTACCTGAAACTCCATTAACACAAACGTTTTTCCTTTTTTAATCCTTTTGGCTCATTCTGTTAGCTTGTTCCTAATCCTAAACCTTACCCTGACCCTGACCCTAACCATTTAACCCCCGCAAAAAAGATCTTGGCACCATGACTGCGGTGATCTACTTTTTTTTGGACCTTGTGCACTGAGAACAATGGATACACAGAGTGTGTTCTTTGAGTGTGGAAGTCTGAGAGCAGGTCCTGGGCTTGTGACCGATGAGTCAGTATCTGTAGTAGCACGATAATGATCACTTTCGTGTGGCAGCTGCTTGATTTACAGCGATGTGAGTCACATCGAAACTCTGAACCTCCTCAACAACAAGATCCGACCAGGACGAGAATCCATCTTCACGTTCTACAGCGAACAGAACTTTGTAGAATCACACTGAAGGGATTTAAAACGGTTTAAATGATGAAGCAGGTTCAGATTGTTACAGCCACCCTGGACGGTCCACCAGTCCATCACAGGCCCACAAAGAAACACACCACCACCACAAACAACCATGAGGCCCTGCTATGAGTCCAAATATGAGATATGTGGGGAGAAAATAAATCATTCTAACACATTCAAAGCTCTGAGTTCGTTTCTGGATATTCAATGTTGGACAACCGCCTTAAACCTTTCAATATGGCAACAACTTTACAAAGCGTCAGTGAGTCCAGATCTAGTTTGTCCCCAAAACATTGGATTCTGGGTTAAAAGGTGCAAGATTTCCTAGTGAGGCGCTGATCCCAGGTCCAAGTGCTTTGACGCAAATGTAATGATTATTGATCAACGATGATAGTAAACAACAAATGAACAGAAAAGCATTAAACGTGGTTTGCTGAATATCAGATGTCTGTTTTCCAAGTGTCTTTGTAAATGATCACGTTGGTGATCATCATTTTTATAAATGTAATCTCACAACGAGGATCACGTTAGAATCAATTAAACTACTCCCTCTAACTATTTGACACATTTGTTCACACTCCGGGAACTGGAGGCAGAGGCTCAGCGCTAAGTACAAATAAAGCCATTGTAGTGAATGACTTTAAAATTCAAGTGGACGTTGACAATGACTGATCAAATGATTTCTAAAGTATGAACTTTCTATTGTAGATTCAATTGGCAGGTGTGGATGGAGACAGGCTGGTGTGGAAGACCTGGACTGGCCTGCACAGTATCCTGACCTCAGCCCCAAAAGATCGCCTTTGTGATGAGTCGGACTGAGTGAGCGGCCTTCTGTCCAGCATCAGTCTGACCTGGTCAGAAATGCCCAACAGCACTCTCCAGAACCCTGTGGATTGTGCTGATTTTGACACAGTCGATCACAGCATTCTGTTACAGAGGCTCCGACATGTTGTTTGGATTAAAGGGACTGTATTATAGATGGTTTAAGTCATGTTTATCTGACAGATTCCATTTTGTCCATGGAAATGAAGTCCTGGAGTTCCTCAGGGTTCTGTGCTTAGACCACTTCTTTTCCCTTCATACCTACCTCCATTATATAACATTATTAGACAGTATGTCATCAATTTTCACTGTTATGCTGATGATACACTGTTATACCAATCTATGAAACAATGAGAAAATGATAAGTTCTTAAGTAAACTTAAGAAATGTCTTATAGAGGTTAGGAGCTGGATGACTCTGAATTTTCTGCTTCTACATTTTGACCAAAATAAGTTTTTTCTTTGGACCCGAACACGTTTGGGAAAAGCTGTGTAGTTATACGGATCCTCTCGTGGTATTTCTTGGGAGTCTAGTCCTACAGTGAAACACCTTCATGGGAGCCCCCAGTAGAAGTGAGACTGGTTCTACCGAGGGGGGGTCTGCTTCCTGAACCCAGACTGGTTCTACAGAGTGGGGGGGTCTGCTTCCTGAAAGCAGAATTTTCTACTGTAAAAAAGAGGAAAAAAAAACTTATATTTCTTTGACCGTAATACTTGTTTTTAGAACATTTCTGTGTAAATTGAATTGATTATATATATATACATATATATATATATTTTTTTTTAATGAACTGAACTTTATCTTTGAAATGTTTAATGTTAGCGTTTGTTTTCCTGTGGCCCTACATAAATGAAACTAAATTGAGGCTAACTGTATTGAGCGGTGGTGGGTGAAGCTAACGTGTGTGTGCACCGGTTCTGTAGAGGTTCTGGGTCGCTCTGGTTCTGGTTCTAGACCAGCAGCTGTTGGGGCTATAATGGACGGGCCTATAGGTTCTTTGTCCCCGCTTCTATCCTCCTCCTCCTCTTTGTGTCCTCTCAGTGTTTTGGGTGCGAGTGTCCTTTGAGCTGTTAATCCACTCAGATCACGGCGAACATTTCGTTGTTGTTCCACTCTGTTACTTGCTTATTAACAGCTTTACTTCTCCAGAATGCACTCATTTAGCCCCCCAGAAAAAAAACCCCACGAGACAAACCGGTGGCTGAACCGGAAATATGCTTGCTCTGAACACTTTTATATTTCAGAGGAATACATTCAAATAGTTCCTCCCCCCCATTTTTGTGCACTCCACAAGATTGGATGAAAATAAAGATTCGCCAGTTTCCCGGCTAAGTGGGGAAATCTGAAATATCGGTGCTGCCATTGATTGATGTGATCCTTTTTGCTGATAGGCTGCGTGTAGTTATTAACAAGTTGAATATCTGCAAGTGTCCTTTGCAAAATTTTTGCTGTGGACTCATTTGAAATATTAATGCAAAAAACAAAACAAA